TGAAGGAAGTAGTGAAAATTAGGGTAACCATATTATTTTTTGTCTAAATGGGATATTTTTGAGAGGGAAAGGAATCACCATTAATATTTATATCGACACAGTTGGTACAGTTTGGGAGTGTCCTAGACAAACCAGTCTGCATGGTCACCCCACCTAGAATGGGTGGGGACGGGGCATGGGGAACAGAGTAAAAACTTCACAAAGTACTCCTTGTTATATTGCTTTGACTTTAGAATCATGCATATATATTACCTATTGGAAACAATGAGAAATAAAATTTAGAAAATATCTGTGAATACCACAGTCATGGTAAAATGGACTACTGGATTTTAATGGTCTGTATGGTGGAGAAGCATTTAATGATATATCAACTCCCTATTGGCAGTGTTTGAAGACAAGATTGGAGCATGCATGAATACATCCTCACGGGTGAATTTTCCAATGAAGAGTGGAAGATAGTCAGCCTTCATTTATTCAGCCATCCATTCATCATTCATTCAGCTTTCCACAAATATTAATCAAGCACCTTTTACGTGCTAAGTGCTGAGGTAGGATAGATACTGACCTCCTTCCTCATGGAACTTTGCATCCAGAGGAGGCTACAGATAGTACACAGGCCATAAGAAAAGCATAACAAAGTTTGGTGCCCAGGAAAACAGCAATGCTGTGGGCACATGAGCTTCCCTGAGGACATCCCTGAACAGCTGAATGAGTGAAAGAATGAAGGAATGAAGACAGTAGCATAAAATGACCTCTTTTATCTTCCAAATCTGCAATTTGCTTGTTGTATGACACATGGAGCTACTAATATTTTGGAAGAACAAAAATGAATAAACTCAAATTATTCTGACTAGTTGACAAGAGGGTTTGATGATATAGAATATTCCAGAGTTCTGGGTACCAGTTCTTGCACTGGCTTGCTGTGAGACTCTAGGGAAGGTAATAAGACTGTCTAAACTTTAGAAAGTATGCAGTAATGGTGTTTGGCAAATTGCTATCTGTGAGACTTCTAGATCCATAATTCTCTGTCCAATATTTCTCTATTATTTCACTCTACTTCAATAGCAGGCATTTAATTTTCCCCTCTCAGGACCTTTGCACATGCTATTCCCTCTGCTTGGAATGGGCTTGTTCTTCACACGGCCAGCTCCTCTTCATCTTTAGGTCTCAATTTCCCCTTTGCAAAGAGGCCTTCCCTGCTCTCTCCGGCACAGTTAAGTGCCCTTGTTATTTCCTGTTTCCTTCACAGTTCATATCATGCTGTGATAAGAAATTGTAAGTCTTATAAATTGTAAGTTTTGTAAAGCAGGAATGGTGTCTGTCTTGCATCCCTAGGGCCTAGCACCTGGGAAGTAGTAGGTTCTCAGGGGATATGTCGAATGAATTGGTAAAAGCAAAAACAAAACCAAGAAGAAAGTCCTTTCATTTGGTCATATTCTGAGAGGTGGCTTACACTGCCTCATCAGCTTGCCATTTCCAGCTTCAACGCAGCTGTGTCTTATCCAGACTCACTTGACACAGCAACCCTGTGTCACCGCACACATTTGGGGGTCATGGGTTTGCCTCCATTAGTGTTGCTGCAACACTTAAGTGATTGCAGGCTGTGGTGCAGGTCCTGGAGGCAGTTAATCCTGGTTCCAAATCTGGATATTTCTGAGACGTAGCTCCCACAGGACACTGGCTTTTCTGTCTGCATATAATTTTTGCAAAACCGATAATTATTTATAGCAGTTTACACAATTGACATGACAGCTGGGACTAAACTAGCAAAGTTGACAAGAAGCCTGCCAATTATGTATTATTTTGGGCCCCTCGGCATAAATCTGTTCTCGAAGGGAGACCGAAAATTATCTTCCCCTGGGCCTCTTCCTTTCCGTGATATTTTTTTTTTCCATTTCTGCTTTTACATTGAACTTAAGAAGCTACAGCTAGCTTAATTTAGTAGTTACCACTGAGGGCCTGTCGCCGTCCTCAACCACTGACTCATCTCTCCATTCATTTTATCAATGACATCAGCCCAGGCTAGAAATAAATGCCGAGGAAAAGCCAGCTGAGGAGAACGTACCTACAAAGTTTTTCACTGGGCTCTGAAAATGAATAGTTGTTTTGAAAATGTTTTCATGGTCACCGATGAATCTAATCCAATTCTCCCCTCTTGCCCTCTGCGGAGGCCTAGCTCTCTGAGAATGCCACAGAACGACGGAACATGAGAGGGAAGATTCTAGAATCTAGACTGATTGTGAGGGCAGAGCCAGTCTTCTTTCCTAACGAATTGGGTATAGTTTGTGAGAGAAAGGGAAGAGTCAGGAATGGCTCGACGAGGCAGGGCCTGAGCAAGTACAGGGGTGGGGTTCCTGTCAACTAAAATGTGAAAAAGTGGGATTTGAGGGGGAAGATCAAGAGCTCAGCTTGAAATAAGTTTGAGATGCTTGTTAGACACCCAAGTGGAGAGGCCAGAGTGCCTACCCGTAGGACAACCCCGCCTTCATCAGCGTGTCACTACCACCAGTGGTATCCTTGCTCCTTTCAAAAGAATCATGGTGTTTGCCTCCCTTTCTCCCACTTATTCCTGCCTCCAGGAGTTTTTTGGCATGTTTCCTCGTTCTCAGAGTGTCCTCTCAACTCACTTCTTCCTGTCCGAATTCAAGTCACCCTTCAGTTTCCATTTTTCATTCAACAAACATTTACCCTGAGCCAGCCGGGTGGGGTCCCCATGCCTCCCGGGCGGGGGGGGAGGAAAGGGAGCCTTTCCTTTCATCCGCACTGCCTCCTCTGATCTCAACCACACGCTGAGCCCCTGCTGCCTGGAGCCCTCCTTCTGACTTCCAGTCATATACAGCCCTGGTTGTCATTTAATAACTTGGGGTGAATATCCTGCCGTCTGCATCGAGTGCTTGGTGCACGATCAATGACTGCTTGTGGGACTGTATTCACAAGTCTGGCTGAGTCGTTTGGTCTGCAGAGCCTCTCTCTCTGGATGCACCTCCTGACCCAACCCAAACTCCCCCTACCTAGGGGTCTCCCTGGAACAAGAAGTAGGAGAGGAAAGAGAAGAGGGAAGAAAGGGTCTAAGTTGTCAATATTGGACTCTTGGCTTTCATCTAATGGACTACAAGCCCTTGACTCTTCTCCAGCACGTAGCCCTACCCCCCTGAGCCAAGTTAATTAGCACTTCTGTGAGAAGGAGGCTGCATGGTGTCCCATAAACAGCATGGGCTTTGCTCTCAAGCTGACTTGGGCTTGAATTTTGGCTCAACTACCTGCTAGCTGGCAACATTAAGCAAACCACTTAGCTTCTATCACCCTCATCTTACTCACTTCTGTAATAACATACCTTCAAGGCTTTTGTGAGAATTAGTATATAGATAGATAGATAGATATGTAGATTGATCTATCTATCTATCTATCTATCTATCTATCTATCTATCTATCTATCTAGAGAACTGCCCAGAAAATAAGTGCCATCTTCCCTGAAAGGGCTCACCGGCACCTTCTCTGATTCCTGTGCTGGACCATGCCAATTCTAATAGGATCAGTTCTTTGCCTGCTGGTTTTGGCCAATTCCAGAGGGCAACATATTACCTAATGACTTTCAGAAGTGAGTACAGCTTGAGGTACATGCCCTTCAAGGGTGGACAGTTGATGTGTCCCCAGGAGAACTAGGGATGAGAGAGAGTGCTTATGGAGAAATTACAAAGAAGTTATGGGGATTCCATGTCAACATTCATTTTCTTCTCTTGGATCTTGACAACTTCCCTCACTCCTAATTTGTTTGGTTTTTAAAATTTTTTCTTAATGTTTGTTTTTGAGAGAGAGAGAGAGAGAGAGAGAGAGAGAGAGAGAGAGAGAGACAAAGTGCAAGTGGGAGAGGGGATATAGAGAGAGGGAGACACAGAATCTGAAGTAGGCTCCAGGCTCTGAGCCATCAGCACAGAGGCTGACACAGGGCTCAAACCCATGAACCATGCCCTGAGTTGATGTTGGACACTTAACCAACTGAGCCACCCAGGAGTCCCTCCTCACTCCTAGTTTGATATGACTTGATCCCAATAATTTTAGGGGCATGGATAGTGGCAGGAATTTTAGCCTTTCCCTACTGCTCTAAGAGCGTGAGTGTGATTGGACATAGGTGAAGTGTTGCTGGAAGGACTGGCCACCAAGCTTACGCAACAGTAAAGTGAGTCACAAGGCTCAGTCTACAAAGGCCAAATCAGAGGACTCTCTCCACAACTCAGACAAGAATATCTGAATAGCTGAGAAAGAAGGAAGGGATTGTGGACTTAAACTATAGGGGAACCATTCTCTGCAACTTCTTCAATGCACTCACAAAGGCATGATTCCATTTAACATTTATCCCTCTCTGGGGTGTAGAGTCCCCCAGGTCATAGAGGAGGACATTGCTCAGAGCAACTACAAGGATAGAGTCTTGCTCAGAACCCAGGTCTTCTGATCCCAAGACCAGTATTCTTTCCCCTCCTCTGTCCTGCTAGATATAGGTCTCAATTCCTCTCTTCCTGCACAATGAGCATACCTGACAATCATCTCACTGATTAAATCCCACATTTTATGCCCTGCTTGACTTTTTAAGAGGATGACAGACTACATTTTTTAAGTGCCCACTTTCCTATGATTTGTGCAGCACTTGAAGTTTGGCCATGGAAGAACCTTTGTGAGGGCTATGACTTTCCTTTGCTTGAGTTGGCCAATATGCAGCCACCAAATCCGAGTAAATACAACTGCTTTCTTCAAACAAGCAGGAGCAAATCAGAACCTCGTCTCTTTACCCTTTCTTTCATTTGTTGTGTTTTTTTTTTTTTTAGGTACAAGGGTGAAAAGTCTCCAGCTCTGCAGAACTGCTAACAGGTACGTATTTAATAGGAAAGGGCACTGGGCTGGAAGTCAAGGCAACATTCTGCCTGGTCAGCAGCCCTCACCTTTGTCCCTGCACCATCCCCTATAAACACCCCAGATCTGCAGGCTCAACTCAGTCTGACATCCTGTCCACATCTCAGTGGGTTTAGCCCAACACTGACATCCTTTTCTGGCCCCTGCCTTGAATGCTCTTGCTTTACCCTCTAAAATGAACCTCATCTTTCACCTGATTATTGAGTTCCTCCACTATTACTTAAACTTGAATATCCATGTTTATCTCTTGCCAACCATATCAGTCCCTGTGGGGCTGAGTTTCTGAGTTTCTAGTGCCAGAGGCTGTCCCAGAGATAGACACCTGTTCCTGAAAATGGTCCAGTTCCTGGGACCTGCTCCCTGCCACCAGGGCACCACTTGCCTGCAGGATCTCTCAACATCATTTCCTCACAGCTTGTCCTTGGGTTCCAACAGCTGTTGGTTACACCACCTCTTTCTGTAGCCACAACCTTCACAGACCTCATTGTTTCCCAGACTGTACCTGCTTTTAGCAAAGGTCTCTCAATGTGTTCTGTTCAGGTGTCTGTCCCATTTAGGTAGGTATGCTTAGTCCCAGGTTCTGATCCTCATGGTTTGTCCTATCTGACCAGTAGCCAGGTCATGCAAGCCACATCCAAGACAGAGGCGTACAGAGAAATTATTTCCAGTCTTGGCTTTTCTACTAATTAGCTGAGTGGCCCCAGGCAAGTCAAGTGACCTCCCTGAGCCTCCTCTCTTAACCTCAGAATGGTAAGTACTAAAGGTGCTAAATGTATGGGGGAGGGTGTGGAACTTTGGTAGATCATCTGGAATTTGAGCACTGTGTGAGCTCCACATTTATACAGTTGGTTTATACAATGAATAAGATGGAACACCACTGTTCTCAATATACAAACTGACACACCAGTGATGGTTAACTTTATATGTCAACTTGACTAGGCTTAGCGATGCTCAGATGGCAGGTTTCTGGGTGTGTCTACAAGTGTGACTCCAGATGACATTAGCACTTGAGTAGGCAGATTCGGTAAAGAAGATTGCCCTCAGTAATGGGCATCATCCAATCTGCTGGGAGCTCTAATAGAACAAAAAGGTGGAAGAACGGCAGATAGGCTCTATTCCTCTCTCTCCCTCTCCCTCTCTCCCTCTCTCTCTCTCTTTCTCACGTGTGTACGCTCTCTTGTTGAGCTGGGAACATCCATCTTCTCCTGCCCTCAAACATTGGTGTTCTTGGTTCTTGGGCCTTTGGACTCAGACTGAGATTTACTCAAATGGCCCCCAGTTCTCAGGCCAATTTTTTGGCCTCCATAACCACACAAGCCAATTCCTATAACAAATCTGTCTCTGTCTCTCTGTGTGGCCCTATCTCTGTCTATCTCTGAGAGTGTTCTATATAAGCTTGCAATTCTGGTGTGTCTATAACAAAGCAAAGAAGCTTGGTTGCCATAGGCTGCCAGCCAAGACAATCTCCAGGGAGTCTGAGGCCCAAGAGAAGCGATAACAGCTATGTGGAGTAGGTTCTCATTACTCTCTGCCCCTGACCCAGTCTTGCCTCAGACTCATTTTCAACAAGGTGCTCCAGGCAGCCAAAATCAATTGATCACAAGATAAAACTTATTTTTCTCCTTCCCTGGAGCAAATCCCACTGTGTATAACCATTGCCCAAGATATATTAACTCACATCAAGTTCCATGCACACTAGAGATACTATGGAAGAGGGGGCTGGCACTGAAGGACAAGGAACTGACTGACAGTGGCCTGGGGAGAAAATAAGAGGTACTCTTGCCTTTTGTTCAGCTCTCTCCCCAGGGTTGTGTGCTTCTAGGAGCTTCGAGCCTTTTCAGGCTTGACTGACATGTCCCTCTGTTACTTGCACAGCCACATACTGTGTTCTGGATGACAAGGACAAGTCCTCTACCCAACTGTGGTTGAACAAAACTCTACCCTGGACACATTTCAGAGCAAGGAGAGGCGATTCCTCATGAGTGCATCTAAATGACCTATTCTGGACATTCCCAAAATAAAGTCTTTTGAATTGATTTCACTCCTTATACCTGGATAATTTTATAGATTTTATAGACCAGAAGGAGACATAATTTCTTATCTGTAAAAACTAACAAAGTATGTTTGTTTATAAATATGTATATCAGTTTCTTTAACCAGCTATCATATTTGTTATTTGTTCTCTGAATCCGAAAAGCTGAGTTTATTTTTCAAAATAAACAACAGCAACAACATAATCCTGCCCATGCCACCAGGGAGCTTGTGGAGGGCTGGGCAGATGGAGGTTTTGGCAGAGTGGGGAGGGCTTCCTGCCTGCTTGTTCACATTAAGTCCTTAGGTCTGTCCTGCCTTAGATGACGTGTGCTAGAAAGAAAACATTTCCATCGTTCACAACAATCTTGTAAGTTAGTTTAGGTAAGTGTTATTTTGCAAATGAGGAAATTAGGGCCCAGGGAGATTAAAGGGCCTGTCCAAGATCTCATGATTGGTTATGACTGGAAACAGAGTGCTATCCCCTGACTTTTTCTGCAGTTTTCACTGGGACCCGTAGCCATGACAGTTCTGCTCTGATATGGCTTGTGACTCTTTTCCCCTTTCCATCTCCAGAGATACGTTTCCATGCATGGAACATCGATACACACAAGGGAAACTTCTTGATCACCAGCCAGCCTCAAATGAAACTGTTGTCCTCACTAAGTGATTCTCTAAGGAAACAGATACAGGGCCACAGTCACAGATAATGCAGGAGGGACGTAGGGAGAGTGTTGGAAGAGGTCACTGAGAGAACGGGACCGCTGGTTGATGGATGAGCTGAACCTAGGTAATCAGAGGCCTGTCACCCCTCCCCTGGCATGTTCTGCTTGCCTTCCTCATGCCAGAAACTTCCCCAAGAACATAGCCTTGATGTGGTCTTGAAACCATCTGGATAGCAGTGTTGACTGAACCCAGTTAAGGCCTCTCTAGAAACTTTTAAGATCTGGTAGCCGGGTATGGAGATCTACTCTTCCTGTGGCCACCCAAGATAGGCCACGTAAATAAGTTCCCTTGCTTATTAAATCTACCACCTGCCAATCAGGAGTGTTCCACCCCTTTCTCTGGTCTTTCCTTTTCCTGAATGCATGGGGGCTAGTTTGTGAAGAGGCACAATTTGCAACTTTATTTGGATGCCCACAGTGATCACTCTGGAAGTTTTCTTACAGGCTGCTCCATGCCGAGCCACATGGGCAAATCAATGAATGTTTGTACATCTCTGGGTCCAGGTCGGTAAGATGGGCAAAGAATAAGAACACTCACCTCACAGGGTCATCATGAGGGGGAATTGAGACCATTGTTGTGTAAACACTGGATTTCTATAACAATGTCACCATTATTATCATTAGGGAGGCGGAGTGTGGAATATGGAAATAACAGATGGTTTCTGCTTCCTCTTTGAGAGATTGCAATCGAGGAGGGATATTCACTATGTTCACAAGTCAACTGCATTCCTGAAGAACTACATCATTCAAAACGCACGTAATCCAAGGATAATTTTTTTATAATCACAAAATGGGCCAGGAGATAGGTTCTCAGAGTGTACCATCTGTAATAGTAGCATAATTTTGCTGTAATGATGCTCTTTTAAAAAGCCCTAGCAATATCCCTTTTATTTTGTGGTCTTTCCCTAAAATTAACAGCACCAAGGGTCACGGCCACTGCCAGGCCTTCTGCCTCTATCCCATCTGACTTCATTTCATAGTAAGTCACAGCACGTTTTCAGGATTGCTACTTTATAGAAGTTTAGATGGTACTATCATAAGCTAGAAAAGATATCAAACTATGGGAGCAATGCATGTTAAAATAACAGCACTGGGTCAACAAAATCACTCACAAAAGCCTCTGCCTGAGATTCACACCATGGTTTCCCACGATAATGACCAAGGCCCATGCGGGTTTCTGTTTACCTCTAATGTAAGCGGCCACCAGACAAGGGACTAAATGTGGTTTAAATTTCACTGAGTTGGTGCGCTGGCTCTGTTATGCCATTCCAGACGAATCATACAAATTTGGAGGAACTTTGCACTATTTTGAATGTTGCCTGTTCAGTGGTATTTTATTACTATTTTACATAGCATTATTCAAAATTTACATAATTCAAGTATACATGAAGTGGGAGTGCATGGTTTGAATAAGGGCAAATAACATTTAAGGGGCCTCTAAGCCCTGAGAATAAAGGTGGGAACGACTTGATGTAGAGGGAGGCCATTCCCCTAATTGGGGAATACTTTTTGAAGAATGAACATTTTGAATACACTGAATAAAAATACATTTTGAACATGTCTGAATAGAAAATAATTTGGAATGTGTTGAATAGAAGACATAGCCTAATTACTATAATATGTCAATTCTTTTTGTACCACTGGAAATTGCTCAGTTTCAGAATCAATAGTTGTTCTTCTGATGGCTGCACTTTTGAAGGAAGCTGGGATCCTTCCTATTTTCAAAGCCTTTGTATCCCTCAGCAGCATGATAAGCACCCAGGGGCAGGGAAGGAAGCCACCCTCAAAGGTTAAGTTCTGCCCAAAATTCCTGGAATGTTGGTGGGGACAGGGGCAGAATTTCCAAACTCTACTTTGCCAAACACAGGGCACGGATCATACAATATTTCTCAATAACCAAAAGTAACCACCAATATCTACTTGAAAGAAGCTTAAGTGGGAGTTCTATCTTTGGTTGCCAAAGGATACATTGAGTCCTTTTGGGTGTTTGTTTGAATAACAGAATAGATAGTTTAGGTTGCTTAGGAGAACACAATGCATATTTTTATCCTGAATGAATTTTTATCCACAATGAATTTTTATCCTGAATTACCCTTGCTTTAAAACAATAACAAACAGTAACCAAAATTCCTTCTTTGCTTGAATTAGCACACTAATCAGTTAGTCAACAAATATTTATTAAGTTGCTGCAATGGAAACTTTGACTTCCCTGTTTAATAACACTTGATGAATTCTCTCATATCCTGTGAAAGAATAACCCTATCGTCTTAAAACCTGCTTATTTTTCCATTTCATCTTTGGACTAGCCAAAGGTGTTTGTGATTATTGTGCTTTTTGCTTCCCACCACCCCCCACGAAGAGATGGATTATTCAATCCTATGTCTCTTTCCAGTTCTAAATTCTACAACCTTAGGTCAAGAAAGGAAAACTATGTTTCCATGTTATAGAAGACAAACCCACGCGTTAAGATCACCTACCTTCCTAGTGCAGTAGTTCCCAAATCTGGATGTGCATCAAAACCACGTGGGGGACATACAGACATGTAATCAAATGGTAGTCAGTGTACCTTAACCCAAAGAATTTCACTTGGGAACTACTGACCTCATTTTACAGGCAAGGAAATTGAAGGCACACGCTTTGCTGCAGAGCTCAGCCAACAGCCCCAGGCCTCCTCCCAGCTCGCAGCCCTGTTTCAGATCCGCTCAAGCCTCTATTACATTCAATAACCTCCAGGATTAAAGAGATAAGTATCTCTCAAAGAAATCTTAAATGGATTTTTAGACATATCAATTTTATTTCTTTCCCTTAGATCTCCACTCTCTAGGAATATATGGGGTCTCAAGTTCCTTGAGGGCAAGAACCTTTCTTAGAAGTGACTGAGAGCACATAATCCTATACGGGGTGCAATTGAAAACAAACCACAAATACTCCATTTCACCCCATTAGTTCAAATTGATCATTGTCAAATCAATCATTCAGCATTCACTGAAGGCT